AAGCTGCAGGCGTCTCTGCGCTGCCTGGCGCCGTGCGGACGCTTCCTCGAGATCGGGAAGGTCGACATTCAAAACAATAGCGCTATTGGTGAGTAATTTACGTAGCATTTGTTTAGTTTCTTGCCAAGACTGCGTTTCAGTTAAGGGTAGGATAGTTAAGGGTAGGCCCAACTTCCTTTGACTTCTCGGCCGTCAGAGCCGGAGATTCCCGTCCTAGTGACGATCGGGGCCTCTTAGGTCCCGGGGCACTAAGTTCACAACTGACACAGGTACAGAGACTCATCATACAGTCGAAAATCCCATGCTCCACCGAAAATCGCAAAACGCATACTTAGTAAGTTCATAGTCTATCATTACTGTCATTGAAGCGCACGTTAGTGTCGCTTCCACATGTGACAGTTTACTCCTTTTCACTAACTGTGCTAATGAGTTTTGTCCCCGCGTAGTTTCTAGAAGCTCGGGGTGAGTTGAGTTACTATGGCTTTTACCGAAGGTAGTAACATGAAATAATTTCGGCTGTGCGTCTGCGAACGCATTTCTTTCCAAGTGCTTTGCGAAGTGGTTGCACGAATGTAAATCTTATACGAGTGTTCAAAGTCCTTACCAAATTTTTGTTTTAAATGACCACGAGAAAAAATGTTTTCCGATTAGTCCACGATAGAACTTCTCAGCCAAGTCTCTACGTTCTATTCTGGCTTATGGTACTCCGTGCACAAATCCTCTATTTTCACCAATCAACCTACAGCTTTTTGCTCCATCACGGGTACTCGCAATCACTTTAGATATCTTTGAATCAGTTGTCAGTTAGACAAACGTTTAGCAACAGCATCGGAACGACACTGTTGTCATCGAACACCGGGTCATAGGAAGGCGAACAATCGCCTTACGTTCTCGCCGCTCCAAGCGCGGAGCTGCAGGTGCATGCAGTTGTTTGCGTCTGCACCCGACGTCACCGCACGTTCCCACCAGTGGATGCGACCGGGTGTAGACATCGAGGCCTCTTACCATTACAGCACAGACATTTGAAACCAATGTCCTGTATTTCCTTCAGAATATGTAGTCTCATTTTGTATCACGATCCATTTACTTTATATTAGCGCTTCCGCGCTCTTTCATCCGTTCAAACGAATGTCTTCTCTCACGTCCAGTAACGCCTCACCGATCCCCCACATCGACAGCTATCAAGAGTAATTTTCTTTCCTCGGTTTAGTTGATTTTTTTTTTTTTGCACTGTAACACTTCAACAAGTAACATCCATTTATTTATACTTGATAAATAGTAATAACACTCAATTTCTCGATCTTAAGACTCGCAACTCACCGTTAATCTACAGGGATGAGGACGCTACAGCATGAGACAAGCATCCACGGTATAATGCTGGACTTGCTCACCGTGCAAGGCGACACGCCTCGAATGCGAGAGCTAAAGAAGCGTCTACAGCGACTGCTGGACGAGCGCGTCGTTCGCCCAGTGAACGCGGAAGTGCTCTCTCGCGATCAGGTGGAACACGCCATACGGTACGTCCCTTAATCACTCTACGTTGTACAAAATGTGTAATTTTCAATGGGAAGCAGAATTATTGTTCTGTGACAAGTATTTCAGCTCTGGTGATCAATACTATATAAAGATCACGGGAAAAAGCAGCTTTGTCACCTGAAGTTGAAATCGAGAAAACTGAGAAAGATAAATGTTTGGAAGTCAGAAGCCGAATACCATTTAACAATAAAATATGAAAAAGTACACTAGTACCTTCCTTTACTACCTGTAAAGAGCTGCAATTATTTTACACGTCTACCCATGTTGATCATTATCAATGGTGAGGCATTTTCTCAATAAAATCCGTGCATTAAAGGGGGAAAACAAAGTTTGTCTTATTATTTTCAATAAATTCTATTTTTCGACAAAAATTGGTTTTATTACCTATACAAAAACTGGATAATGGAAATTATTCTTTTATTAAGTAATTCCATCTCAAATGATAAAGAACAAATTGAAATGAACGCGAAAACCAAGCGTATTACTATTTAAATTAAATATTATTTAAATAATATTGTTAAAATTATTAAACATTCGACACGGGTGTTTTCTCCCTCGATGAACTAAGTAGAGAGAGCTTCCTTCTTTTTTCCTTTGGCAACCGTTTTTGGTATTCTTGGTCATTCAAAATGTTCCATTATAATTTAATCGATTCAGAACCAATCCTACGTGATTCTGACAATTCTGTCTTTGTTATTTTCAACTGGGAAATGCACATTAAATAGTACACAATAGTACATAAGCACATTAAAACACTGGTAGCGTTTACATAAACCAGTCTTCACCCGTTTCATGAGTACTTACCGTTTCATGAGTTTTTTGCAACATCCGTCATTCTCCCCAGTTTCTTTTTCTGCGGGAAAACATTTACTTGTTTGTCTTCTCTGTTGATCATATTGGATTGAAAACAGAGATATTGCAGCAAAATTACAATACAAGCACTGTATACAAGCATAGTAATGCGAAAAGAAACTTTCCTTGAATACAACAATACTGTACTGATCAGAACATTCGGAAATCACGTGCGGGGAATGAGACAACCATTTGGACATTTCTGGCTATTTCCGCTGATGCCAGGACAACTCTGGTTCTTTCCCCGTATGACATAATTTCAGCTTCAGTTTTCTTAGTGACAAACCGTGTTTTTCTCCCATAACGATGGTAAATTGGGAAATATAATAAGTATACTATACCTCAACGGCGATATCTCATTTTCGATAAAAAGGAACAAACCTGATTCTTTACCCGTTATCTTAGTATATTAAACGCAAAGAAAAATTTACACGAGTTAGAAGAGCTAATCGCTATATTTCTTTACATAATTACTGTATTCCTGCAGAACAATTATATATTTTGCCTTCAAGTTCGCTAGTCAGTACAAGAAGTAAACAGTAATAGATCCATTGCAGGCACATGGCGGCGGGCAAGCACATCGGGAAGGTGGTGATCCGCGTGCGGGAGGGCGAGGAGG